TTCCTCTTCTAAAATTGGAACCAAGACCTTGTCAAAATGTAAAAAGGTGAGGGTTTTGGTCTGAAGCATAGCAGGATGAGCCTGTCAGATGCTGTCTTTTTATAGCTCAAGAACTTAGCTCAAGTTCTTCTTAAAGATCTTGATAAGGATAAGGGCAAGTTCTAGGCCATCTTTTGATAATTGTTTTTCTTCTTGGAAAAGTATGCTGGCTCCTCCTGTCTGCCATCTGCTCCTTAACAAGAGGGATGATCTGGGAAGGGGCGTCTTCAGTTCCAGTGCTACATCTCATCCCAGATGCTCTCATGATTTCTTCTGAGGTCAGTATGAATGTATAAAACTGGGGCAGTGATGAGGGAATATTTCTTTAAAAGAATTGCTGGCAGATACATGTCATTTGAGATCATGGGCTCCCAGAACAATGTCCTGGAATAATAATGCTTTTGAAAGTTTAGCATAATCCAGTGAAAGTCATATAAGATATATTTTTCTTTTTTTCTAAGTGTTCTGATTTTCATTAAAACATCTGAGTGTCTTTAAACACTATAAGTATTTTATGTAATATTCTGAAAAATCTTGTGACGCAGCACTGATATTCCCTTGTCAAATGGAACTGATTCTCATGATTACATTCAGGTCCGTGAGATATGTGGATCTATGTGTTTCAGATACTAGGGTAAAATGCTTTGCACCCTATTGCAATTTCAAAGATCTGACTTATAGACTCTTCATTGAAACAGGTAATCAGAGAAGTCCATGGTTAGGCAAAAGTATTTTTTAGATATATGATGAGCTTTCTAGATTTCTACATACTTTCCCCAACAATTTAGTAGTTTCCATTTGAACATAAATTCTGAAAAGCACAAGAATGTTCAGAACAACCAGTGCCAACTAAATGGTGTTTGAAAAGCAGAGGGCATTAACCATGTTCTGTTGTGGAGGAAGTAGAGGAATAGAGAGAGAAAATCCATGCCAGGAACCTTCCTTAGGCAGATGTGAGCTTAAGATACAATGACTCAATTGAGGTTACCTGGGCTTCTCAGCTCCATTTTCAGTGCTCCATTTGTTACAATAAATGCCTGACAGTTCTGGGGCTCAGCCTGCACCCCTAAGGAGCCAGCAGGAAACATACTGTCATCTGGGGATATACAGATCATCTCCCTCCCACATACTGTGCTTCTGATGTCACAGAAGACCCTGCCCCCATTTAATTCTCCAATGGTTCTCCTGTACCACTTTTAATATCATCATCACTATTTTTTTTCCTAGAGACAGGATCTTGCTCTAGAAAAGGCTGGAGTGAAGTGACCCTATCATATAGCTCCCTGCAGCCTCAAAATTCTAGGCTCAAGTGATTCTCCTGTCTCAGCCTCCTGAGTAGCTGGGACTACAGGTGTGCCCCACAACAAATGGCTAATTTTAAAAATTGTTTTTTTATAGAGACAGGATCTCACTACATTGCCTAGCCTGAACTCTTGTTTTGACCTCTTGGCCTCAAGAAAGTCTCCTGCCTTGGCTTCCCAAAGCACTGGGACTTTAGGTGTAAGCTACTGCAGCAGGCATATCAATCTCTCCCTTTTTTGTTTGAGACAGAGTCTCACTTTGCTACCCTTGTTAGAGTGCCATTATGTTAAAGCTCACAGCAACCTCAAATCCTTGGGCTTAAGTGATCCTCTTGCCATAGCCTCCTGAGTAGCTGGGACTACAGGTGCCTGCCACAACACCCAGCTATTTTTAGAGACCAGGTCTCACTCTTGCTCACGTGATCCACTTGCCTTAGCCTCCCAAAGTGCTAGGATTACAGGCTGAGCCACCATACCTGGCCCTCCTCTCTCTCTCTCTTTTTTATTTTTTTTGAGACAGAGTTTTACTCTGTTGCCCAGGCTAGAGTGCCATGGCATCAGCCTTGCTCACAGCAACCTCAAACTCCTGGTTTAAGTGATTCTCCTGCCTCAGCCTCCTAAGTAGCTGGGACTATATGCACCTGCTACCATGCCTTCCTTGGTATGTAGAGTTGGGATATTGGTCTTGCTGTGGCTGGTCTTGAACTCTTGACCTCAAGGGATCTTCCTGCCTCAGCCTCCCAGAGTGCTAGGATTAGAGGCATGAGCCTCAGTGCCTGGCCACCATCACTATTTTTTAAATGGTGGTATTTGGCCACCACAGGATAAGAATGTGTTAACTATGAAGTAGATGGAACCTAAGGGCTACTACACAAGGCAGCCAGACCATGAGATAAATATGAGGGCATGGGAAGTGGATAAATGCCTCTCAAATTTTTGACAAGGTAATTAAATAAGGATGTCTTCCCCTTGTGTGAAGTTTGTGGCTGGGATACTCTTGCACTGTAAGAGTAATTTTAATTTTTAATTTGCAAGAGTAAATTTAAAAATGTACTTTTAAAATGCTGATTTCATAAAAAGGGAATGGTAGCTATTTAAGGACTCTGTACATCGATTAAGTCCCTTTGTGCTAAAGGACATAATCTTTTAAGTGTACCCAAGAGGGAGCAGACTCAGGAAGCACACCATGCTAACCAAGCCCATGTGGAGTTATCTGATAGGAATGAATGCTATTCGTTGGTCAAAGGGTTAAGAGGCCCATAAGAGGACCAGAATATTGAGGTACGATGTTAGTGAGGATAGTATGTTCAGGTCCTTAGGTGGAAAACAAGAATGAAAGAGGAGAGTGGGGTAGTACAATGAGTGTTAGCTGATCCAAGGTGTATCACAGGTCTGCAACTTACAAGAACAGGTATGAATTTGCCACCTACAATAGGAGCACCTGTTTCAATGAGACAGGACCACTTCCTTTCTTATTTCTGAAAATACACATGGGAATTCTTAATCTCCCAATCCCCCTTTTCTAATTTCCATACAGGCAACTATGTGATTGTCTTGAGATCACGGAGTTTGGGTTATTTTTTTTTAAGATACCAAGCCCCAGGTCTGGGACAGAGCAGTTAGTAAACAGAGGTGATGAGTACAGGATGACTTGAATAAATGGCTCTTTGAGTTCACGTTATAATTTCCAAGCTCCCGTTCATGCTCATCTAGTTTAGTTCTAGCATTCTCAGATTGAGATCTAAGTATGCTGTGCTCATCACAAACTCAGTTTCTAAGTCATCTCTTAAACTGGTTTGTCTATAACAATCAAGTTGACTGTTCTTTACAAAACTCCAGTTCTGGGCAGGGCCAATAGCTCAGTGGATAGGGCGCCAGTCACATGCACGAGGGATGGTGGGTTTGAATACAGCCTGGGCCTGCTAAAACAACAACAACAACAACAACAACAACAACAACAACAACAAAAATAGCCTGGTTTACTTGGGAGGCTGAGACAAGAGAATCCCTTAAGCCCAAGAATTTGAGGTTGCTATGAGCTGTGACGCCATGGCACTCCACCCAGGACAACAAAGTGAGACTCTCTCTTAATAAAACAAACAAACAAACAAAAAACCCACCTCCAGTTCTAATTGTTCATCATACAGTATATGCCTCCCTGGCAAACACTACTCTTTTCTGAGTTTAGGGTTGATCACCCCTCTAATTAGACCACAAATGGACACATCTGGCATCTGGACAACAAAGCTGCAGAAAATCATGGGGGTGCATTTACAGACCCTTTATTCACATTATATCTTAACTTCTTCAGCAGGTGAGTCCTTCAAGCCAAAAGGACTTTATAATAGGAAATTATATTTATACAATCAACATTTAATTGTCAACATGTAAAAATATTTTTCTCCTGTTAATTTCTTAATTCTAGGGGAATTCTATGTTCTCAAACATTTGATTGGTATCTATTCAATAATGTAAATATTTAGTTTGGTCTCATTGAACCAATGCACATCAGAAAATATACCTACTGCAAAAATAATCCTCCATAATGATTCTGATTATTCCAAGTAGTTGACCTCTGGGCGTAGTATTATATAGACCTCAAACACACAAAACAGTCTTCCTTATATTTCTGCTCTTTTGTGAGTGGTCATGGCAGGTCAAAAATCCTTTCATCTTTGCAAAATCAAAGCTGCTTTTGGTGTCTCTAATAATGCCACCCTAATCATTGAGTCATGAGATTGGATCAAATCGTTCAACAATTCAGAGGCAAGTGAATTCACGGATGAGTTATTTTCAAGGGTTCTAGGCTGTTACTTCTCTGAAAACGTATAGGTATTACGAGTAACTGATAACTAGATGTTGTGTGTCATTCCTGTCCAAATTCTGTTCATAGCACAGAGTAAGTCATGACATCTTTTTACTCAATCAATTTATAAACTTTGAAACACACAAATGTGAAATGTGGAAATGTGAAAGTTAATTGTTTTAATTGAAGCTATTGTCCTACAAATTTTAGGAGATTTTATCAGGTAGGAGAGAAATTGGTTCAATGTTAGAGTCTGATAAAAGTTTGTTTTTTTACATTACTTAATTTCTGAAAGTACCAAAAAAGGGTTTAAAATAATTTCATATTTTTTACATATCTAGCCAGTTGACTAGACCAGAGTGCAATTGAAGAAAAAGTTAAAATTCCGATCCTTTACAGACAAAAATCTTTACTTGACATCTTGCTCTACAAGTCTGAGCAATCAGCAGTCAAAACAAACTTGTTAAAAAAAATGGCTAGAACTGTTGGAGGCTGAGGCGGGTGGATTGCCTGAGCTCAGGAGTTGGAGACCAGCCTAAGAGCCAACTCCATCTCTACTGAAAAATAAATAGAAAAAAGTAGCCAGGTGTGGTGGCCAGCACCTGTAGTCTCAGCTACTCAGGAGTCTGAGGCAAGAGAGTGGCTTGAGCCTGAGTTTGAGGTTGCTGTGAGCTGTGACAGGACAGCACTCTACCCATTGGGACAGAATGAGACTCTGCCTTAAAACAAAACAAAACAAGCAAAAAAACGTGGCTAGTGCAATGAATCGTGTCCATTAAGGTGACAAAACAGTGTGTCCCATTTCTGATTACAGCACACATGTGAACCTCTCTAGGTATACCCAACCCAGGGCCATGGAGAGGATCAATGACAGCTGTGAAGAAGACTTCATTCTGCTCGGGTTCTCTGACCGGCCCAAGCTGGAAACTGTCCTGTTTGTTGTCAACCTAGTCTTTTACTTTCTGGCTGTTACTGGCAACTCCACCATCATCTGCCTCTCCCTGGTGGACCCTGTGCTGCACACGCCCATGTACTTCTTCCTCAGCAACCTGTCCCTCCTTGACCTCTGCTACACCACCAGCAGCATCCCCCAGATGCTGGTCAACCTCTGGGGTCCTCGCAAAACCATCACGTACGTGGGGTGCGTCATCCAACTCTTTGCTTTCCTGTCTGTGGGGGGGATCGAGTGCATTCTCCTCTCGGTCATGGCCTACGACCGCTTTGTGGCCGTCTGCAAGCCACTGCACTACATGACCATCATGCACCCGCAGCTGTGCCTGCAGCTGGCGGCCTTTGCCTGGCTCAGCGGGATTGCCAATTCCATCCTGATGTCGCCCCTGACCATGTCTCTGGGCCGGTGCTGTCGCCGCGGCATCAACCACTTTGTGTGTGAGATGCCGGCTATCATCCGCATTTCCTGCGTGGACAGCAGCCGGGTGGAAGGGCTGGCTTTCTTCCTGGCCATCCCCATCGTCCTCGTGCCTCTCACCATGATTCTGGTGTCCTACGGCTACATCGCCGCTGCGGTGCTGCGCATTAAGTCTGCTGCTGGCAGGCGAAAGGCCTTCAACACCTGCTCCTCCCACATGGCCGTCGTGTCCCTCTTCTACAGCGCCATCATCTACATGTACATGCAGCCTGGGAACGTGGCGAGCCAGGACCAGGGCAAGTTCCTCACTCTTTTCTACTGCCTCGTGACCCCTACTCTGAATCCCTTCATCTACACGCTGAGGAACAAAGACGTGAAGGGAGCCATGTGGAAGGTTCTGGGGAAAGACCGCAGCCTACTGGACACCGGAGGACACTGATGGGGGCAGGCGACACTCGCCTCGGGATTCCTTCACCTCTACAAAGCGTTCCCTACTTCGGAACCACAGTGCAAAATGGCATAACAACGGCTACCACATGAACGGTGCCTCCTGCTCTCTTTTTCTCAGCCAGGCAGACTCTGAATGACTCACATCTTTCCTTGCCTGTGGGCTGGCCTTCCTCCAGCTCCTTCAAAGTGAAAGAGTGAATTGCAAAAGATAATGTACTGGTGGAGAGAAGCTGCTTCCTCTTTGCTTAAGAGGATTTTACAGCGAGAGAATGATTTCTTTGCAGCTCAGTTGCGACTCTGATTCTTCTGAGCTATAATGTCAATATTAGATTGTTGGGGACCACCCCCAAACTATGCCCTGAGTTCCCTCCCAGGGGCTGGCAGAGACCAGAGGATGAGGGAAAGAATAAAAAGTCAAACACAAGGGGAAGTGTTTTAAAGGAACAGCTGCGTCAGAAGTCTGTCTGCTTTCAACCGGGAGGACCAGTGGGCAGCCTCTAGCTCCACGCTAGCTCCATCTTTAGCGCATACACCATTGTTTTAATCATCAATCTAATGAAGGACGGCTAACAAGTATGTCATGGTTCTTGCTGAGCTTGTATTTTCTCACCAAACTATGTCTTTAACTAAGTACCTTAATTAGACTGATTTACCTTTTACTATTATTGCTCTAAGTTATTTACGATCTTAACACAAATAGATCATAGGATGGGGAACACAGTCCAGGAGCAGGATGTCAAAACATATGTGTGCCCCATTAGTCCAGACACACAAATCACAGGAGTAGCAACTGACCCTCAAGAAGCCTTGTGCTCTGACAACTGACACTTCTGACCATAACACCGTGACAGAAGAAAAGAGCTATTTTTCCCCTTATCTTGTCCTGAGTGATTCTTTCTCTGTTTATGAGATTTTAAACATTCTGCATTCCCTAACTCCCTGAAAGCATTCACTTTCCCTGAGAGGGCAGCCCCACCAGCCCAGGACAGCTTTGCCTGCTTAGTTACCTCACAGCACAGCAGAGTTGCCATGGGGCAGGGGGTGAAGTTACAGCAAAGTCTGGAGAGTCTTAAAGAGGCCAGGCCTCCTGCAGTGCATTTTTCACCAGGCTTTGGGTTTCTCTGATCCACTTCTCTACTGTCTCTGTTCCCTTTCACTTATCATCTGCAATCATTTTCTTAATTCAATTCCTAACCTACTTACAACTAACAATTGAATATTGGTTTTAAGCTTAGTAAATCATTATTTCTAGCAATGCAAGCACATCAAGATATGACTCTTCCCTTAAGTACCCATATGTACATCCTCATTAGATCAGATACGTGTACAGGAGGAAGACGACACCATGGCAGAAATGTGTATGGGTCTCTGTGAGAAGTGTTATTTTAGAGTACACTTATTCCTTCTCATATGCCTTTTTGTTCTGAATTGTCCAGACCCCGATGGAGATGATGCTATTACTTTTTCAGGCTGTTGCTTGCTGCCCTCCTGCTGTCCTGAACAGGTGTTTTTATGTCCTTCTTTCTTTCTTCCTTCCTTTTCTCTTTCTTTCTTTCTTTCTTTCTTTTTTTGACACACTCTCACTCACCCTGGCTAGAGTGCCATGGTGACATCATATCTCATAGCAACCTCAAACTCTTGGACTTAAGCAATCAATCCTCTTGCATCAGCCTCCTGAGTAGCTAGAAATATAGGCATTTGCCACTATGTCCTGCTACTTTTTCTATTTTTAGTTGAGAGGGGGGTCTTGCTTTTGCTGAGGTTGGTCTTGAACTCCTGAACTCAAGCAATCCACCTGCTGCCTCCCAGAGTGCTAGGATTACAGGCATGAGTCACCACACCTGGCCCTGAGCAGATGTTGCAGAACTGCTTAACTAAGAGCAGTGTTTTCTATATATTTCATGCCATCTGCCATAAGTGGATTCTTAAATCAATTTAAAGGATGCAGAAAGCATTTAAAAATGGGCTAGGATAGAAAATTTCATAGGGGACTATGCATGGCAGAGCGAGTCACTTGTGTATGTGTGTGTTTGTGTGTGTGAGAGAGAGAATGAGAGTGAGAGAGAGAGCACAAGAGAGAAATGTATTCCTCATACAGGATACAAAACTTTGAGTCGTTACTTTAGAGAGTTTCAGTTGGAGCAAGTTTCTAAGCAGCCAGTATGTTTGTACTGGGGGGAAATTTAGGGATATGACTCATAGAACAATGGTACGGACGGGAAGAGTGTGGGAATCACGGGACTCACAGCTGCTTGGTAGGAGAGGGCTTGCCAGGATAAATAACAATGATTTTGAAAATGATAACATTAATATGCTAATTATGATGAAAATGAAACTATTTTTTCGACTCATGTATTAACAACTTACTGACAATTCTGACGCAGGAATGTGTTAAGGTTTATTGGCAAGTCATAGATTATTTCAAATTTTTTCCTGAAAATATAGTAAAAAGTAAAAGTGAGAATCTTTGATTAAGTTGTAAAAATAAATAAAATCTTGCCTATTTCTAGGAGCTACTTAGTTTCTATAATGGCTAATTTTAATATGTCTATTTTATTAGGCCATAGTGCCCAGGTATTTGGTCAAATACCAATCTGAACATTACTATAGAGGTATTTTTTTTAGACAAGATTACTATTTAAAACAATAGACTCTGAGTGGTGTAGATTACTCTCCATGATGTGGGTGGCCTACCCTGATCAGTGGAAGGTTGTAAGAGATAACAGACTTCTTCCAAAGAAGAAGAAATTCGTGCAGTCTGCCTTCAGGCTTGAGTTGCAATATCAGTGTTTTCTGGGTCTCCAGCCGGCCCTACAGACTTAGGATGTCCCCAAAGTGTGTGAGCCAGTTCTTTAAAATAATTTTTTCTCTATTTCTTCATGCCTGTAAATATGTATATGTATGTATATGTACCTGTGTATATACACAAATGTACATAGACATTCTATTGGTTCTGTTTCTCTGGGGAACTCTGACTAATATAGTCTCCATTACTAATTTTAAAAAATCCATAAAAAATTAAGCATGTCTTTATTAAATCTGCTTTAGCTTTCACTTAAAAAAAGAAAACCTAAGCTCTTTAGTTACATATGCAGTTTTCATATTTCTTTCCTCATGTTCAAATATGTATTTCTTTAAACAGGATAATCTTTGCCTGTATTTTCAGTCCAAAATTCCTCATTGGATTATTAGAGGTTAAAAAATAGTGGATATTGCAGAAAAATAGTGGATATTGCAAGTCAGCTTACATCTACATGACTTTTCTGTAGGTGAAAAGAAGTTTACTGCCATATTTCCTCTTCTGTGTATCTTGTTAAGCCTCTGAATTGTTTTGCTGTTTTGTTTTGTAATTTTGATATGTTTATTCTGGTGTCTACTAAGCATGACCTCTGTTACAACACCACATGCATGTAGTGTTGGGGGCCTATATCAACAACTGTGTCAAGCTGAGCGTTGTGGCAGCCACCTGTAGTCCTAGCTACTCAGGAGGCTTGTAAGAGAATCACTTGAGCCCAAGAGTTTGAGGTTATTGTAAGCTATGATGCCACAGCACTCTACTCAGGGTAACAGAATGAGACACTGTCTCAAAACAAACAAACAAACAAACAAACAACCCAACTGTGTTAGAACAAACTGTTATGCTGTGCTGAAATAAATCTTTTAGAATTTGAATGCACAATTTTCCATTTTTTTTGCAAGGAGTAAGTCCAATGGGTACTTTCTAACTGTCCAGGGGCCCCACTCAATTTTTATATGCCTACAGTATTAGTTATAACAAGATGGATGAGGTCAATTATTACAATGGTGTAAACATTTCCAACTGTTTATGAAACATAATTTACAACTTTTAATGGACAATTCCCTAAATGTTCTAACAAAAAATGCTTTATATTGCTAACATGCAGAGTCTAGCTGTAGAAAACATATGAAATCCTCTGTTTTTTATCAAAAAATACTCATCAGTAAATAAATATTGATACTATAAGATATAGAATTAGAGTAGTTGAATAGTTCAATAGTTCTATGTAACTATTCTATAAATACACTCCTTTTCTTTCTAAACAAAAGAAATCATTGACCTAGTGTTTTTCCCACTCAGAACCTTTATTTGACAATTTTTTCAAGGTTCACCATTAACTATAATTCAAAATCATGAATGTGAGATCCCTGCCTAAGGGATCTTGAATTATCTTTGGTAGGGAGTTGCTTCCTAAAGGCCAAGAATAAATCTCATGCCCTAGAGAAAAGGGGATACAGAGTTAGATTTAATTTCATTTTAGAAAAGAGAAAATGGCATTTCTCATCTAAAAAAAAATTGTGAATGTGGCTCCAAATGGAATTTTAATTAAGGTGATAATAATTTTATCCCATTTAATTTCATCATCTTTGTCTTTATTTTCCTTTCTTGATATCAGAAATGTGGTCTAAAAATGTTTAATTGGCTTATGATGATGATGGTAAGGAATGCAAATGTTAATGATTATGGTGATGATGATATTGTTAAAGTGATTAACAATCTTACTATATATCTTGCTATAAATGTGGAGACCATATATTTTCTCCTTCTCCATTTACTTCTTCTTTGGAAGCCCAAATCTCATTGTTTTTGGACCTTGAATTAAGAAAATGCACGGGCAATGGGAGTGAGAACCCCAGAGTAGATGTAAGATATGGGGGTGTAATATGTAGTATTGTCGTATAATCTAAATAAACAAAGGCCAAGGGACTTTCCCCAGGGACTAAGAGGTGGTGGTCTCATCTCAATTCATTTTATTTCAAATAGGGGGTTATTTGCCAATAAACAAATTGACATCTACTGCATGTCAGTAGTGATTGCCTTACCATTGGTGGTTAATAACCTTCTATAGCATAGATGCCCCTTCAATCTGTCCACACTTCATCTCCTTTGATCCACTGTATTTTTGGTCTGTTACAAGCAGTGCAGCCTGTACTCCAAATAATAATCAAAGGCCATGTGAAGAAAACCAG